CTGTCTCTCTCTCTTTCATCGAGCCGTATACTAATGCTTTGAATCTGCTCGGTCTTCCGGCCAACGCGCCAACAAAGCTTTGATCCTCTCGTCGACAGTCGGAAAAAGGCTTAGGGAGAAAACGGAGATGACTTAATAGAAGAAGGTTATCGGTATCAGAGGGGAATGTAAATAGCGAAATTAAAAAGATTGTAATTACATGCAAACTATAAATTAGATTTATTTGACCATTGTCAAAAATCAGCTACTATAAGAATTAAAAAAAAAAAATAATAAATTTTATCTTTCTGAAAAAGAATCCTAGATTGGAATTAATGCGGTGCAGTTAACGCCAAGCGAGACATTCGCACACGCGATGCATTTTATGCGTCACATTTCACGTAACTTTTCTCGAATTTTGATGGCTGCTACTCGAAATGCTTTTTGCGTTTTCATTCGTTTAATCGAATTTTCTATATGCAACGACGGCAAATGTTGTAAGAACGAAAATATACACGGACATGGGAGAAAATTCTCGTAGAGGTAGATCGATCGATGCGCTCTTGTCGATTCGTCCGGAAATTCCGTCCAGAAATAAGTCTGCAAGGGAAGAGAATGGGGATCACGGAAAAAAAATTGCTGCTGCCACAACTAATCATGGTTTGCAGAAACTGTATTTGCTGCTGTAACAACCAAAATCGCTACTATATAACAAATATTTGCTGCTGTTGCTAATACGTCAGCATAGTAGCAAAATTTGTAGATGATCGCATGTCTGTTACAGTCATTTATTTAGCAACATAAAGTTAACTGTCTCAGCTACCTGATACATGTATGGAAAAGAAAATTGTCTTTGCCATAGCAAACCATATTTGCTGAAACTATGTTTGCTATCAAATTTGCTACTATACAAAAAAGGTTTGCTGTCATAGCTATCTGATATATCTTACTTAGCAAAGGCATATAAGTATTGCTCAACAATGATACATTTCACGTTACGTGTGCCATCGACTTTTGAACTGGCAATGAATATCGGAATGTCTTAGGCGCACAAGATAAGCCGATATATCAATCGATTGAAAATACGCGCTTTTAAAAGAACATCGACGGCGCGATAGTGACGCAGCGGTGATACGCAGTGCTACGTGCTACGTGCTACATCGAAGGTATAACGTTTTGTCCTTGTCTTTCGAAGCTTGTTTTTGAGACCATGTCGAGCACAAGTGCGTGTAGTACGTATAATTTATTAACGAAATGGGGATTTTCTCCTGAAATAATAGCGAACTTTACAGGTAAGTAAGTCAATTTATTTTTGATAAAAATGATAAGAGTAACGTATAACTTGGACTCGTTTGGATGAGGGGAGTGAAATCTGAGGAATGAAGGGAAAATCCATTGTAACCATCTTGATTGATGAGATTTTGCGTACATATAACACACGATATATCTATTTTCACGTCCCATTGACATGATTTTAACCGAGCCATCGTTGGGATTTAAGGTAATGTATTTCGTACATGAATACGGAATACGTAACCATATCGTTATTTCGTATAATTAATCGTCATCGTCATCTTGATTAATCATATCCCTTCTTTTCCCTCAAGCTTCAACCCTGCGGAAATATGCTCGGTCCAGATATTCCTACGTCCATTTTCTTTCCCAGGTAGTAAAGTCCTTATGACGTTATTATGATGTCAAATGATGTACCCTTGCTACTTGGAATGGTTAAGTCTTATCGTTTAGCGAGTGATTAAGAAAATTTATAGTTTTATTGATACATATTGCGCTGTCTACGTTATTATGATGTCAAATGATGTACCCTTGCTACTTGGAATGGTTAAGTCTTATCGTTTAGCGAGTGATTAAGAAAATTTATAGTTTTATTGATACATATTGCGCTGTCTAATATTTCATGTTTTCTCTATTCTCTAATATATCATGTTTTTTTATCTTCTACTTGCTTTAATTTTAGCTCAAGAAATTAAAGCAGATCAATTAAATATTTTAACGGAAGAAGATCTTAAGAATTTAATCCCAAACATAGGACCGCGAAGAAAATTTCAAGTATTGTTCAAAGTATTGTAAAACAATATCTAAATGAAAGAGAGGTATTCATTTAACATTCTACTTTTCTTCACATTACTTTGTCGAGTAAGGCAATCTACCTTACCATATAAATAACATTAATATATTGATATAAATGTTTGCCAAGATTCAACAGTTATATCCGGAAGAAAATTCTAATACAATTAATCATGAACAACAGTTACTAGCTGCACAACAAGAACAAGTAGAAAATCTTATAAAGCAGAAAAATATAGAGAGCAATATACACAATCAAGATATTATATACTATCTACAATCATTGCCTGAAACTCAGCAG